CCTGCTGACACTTTGCCCGCTCTGTGGGGCAGGGGCCAGCATGCCCTTCCTTGTATGAGGACATTGCAGCTTAGAGAGTGGGTCACTTGGCCAGCTGCCCCCCACCCCACTCTCGAGGATCTGGAGCCCCCCAGGAACCCGCTCACCTGTCTCCTCCCCCTGCAGCTTTTCTTCCACCTGCAGCGGGAGCGCCGGTTCCTGGAGCCCCGGGCCCGGTTTTACGCCGCCGAGGTGGCCAGCGCCATTGGCTACCTGCACTCCCTCAACATCATTTACAGGTGAGGCCTGCCTGTGGCTCAGAGCTAAGCCTGGCCCTTCCGCCCCAACAGCCAGGCGTCGTATGGACCCCCAGACCCTGCTGAAATCCTGGTGAACCTGGTCCTCTGTCTGACGAGGAGGGCCCGCCAGCGAGTGGGGGCCTCCTCCTTCCTGGGATTGAGTGCCCATCCTCCTCGGGCTCTCCCTGTGCATCTCTGCATCTCCATGAATAGTCCTCTTGCAGGACCCCGGTCCCCAGCTCGCGTCACTAAGCAGCTGTGACATCACAGCGCCCTTTTCTCTCATTTTCTGCAGGGACCTGAAACCAGAGAACATTCTTTTGGACGGCCAGGTTGGTGGGTATTTGTGTGTGCGTGCGCGCGTGTGTGCTGTGTGCCCATGAGTGTGTGTGCACGCATTGTGCATATGTGCACATGGCTAGGGACGCATTCAAGTATGTGTGCGCATGTGTGCCTATGCCTGTATACACACATACACGCATATATGTACACGCATGTGCGTTATGTGTACACGTGGCTACGTATCCATGTGTGTGTACGTGTATACGGGGTGGGGGGCAGGGGTGGAGCCATGTGGAGGCTCAAGGATTTTGTAGTCCTTCCGTGGCATAGACTGTGTTCCCTGGAAATAGACTCTGAGATGGACCACTGGGTGCAGAAGCTTCCTGGGGGACGCTCTCAAGAGATCCACGTTTAAGGGGCTGAGGAGGCAGGACTGGGCAGAGAAAGCAGCTCGCCTGCCTTGTGGTCGCAAGTGAGGCCTCCTCAGCTGGTCGTGCAGGGGTGGGGTGGGCCTGAGCTGGGATGGCTCTTTAGAACTGTTCTAAACTGAGGCAAGGAGGCTGGGCATCTGTGCCCCTACACTGACCAGTCATTGGATGGGGATTGCCCCTTGAGAGGGGGCATGACTTTGGATGAGGGCAATGGCCCAGCATGGGGGGATAGGCGGGACAGCTCCTAAAGAGGGGATCTGGACAGAGCCCCGCAGCATCCACTCACTGCTCTACCAACCACCCTCTCGCTCAGCTGCCACAAGGCGTGCTTTCTGGGTCCCCAGCCCTCTGTTAAGGGGGCTCTGCTGCCACTAGGCCCCTCCAGCGGGAACATTCCAGAACTGCTGTCGTTGTAGGTTGTCGATCTGAGTTTGTGATGAGCTGGGGGTAGACAGTGCAATGCCATCTCCCCACCTGGCCCCTGTGCTGCTCTTAGCATCCAGGTTAGAAGCACTGAGTCTCTGAGTGGAGCCACCAGCCCGTGCCTTTGCCAGGGACATCAGACCCCACGGCCGCTGCCCCAGATGTGGCATCTGGGCTTTGGGGAAAGACCTGGGTATACCTTTGGCTCAGACCACCCTCCCACCCTTGCCCTCCCTCCTCTATAGGGACATGTGGTGCTGACAGATTTTGGCCTCTGCAAGGAAGGTGTGGAGCCTGAGGAGACCACGTCCACATTTTGTGGCACCCCCGAGGTAAGCTAAACCTCCTGGGAGGGGCAAGGCTGGGAGTGGATGAGGCCACAGCGCCTGATTAGGGCCACCAGCTTATACCAGAGGGACTCACTCCTTCCACCCAAGCACTTCCCCGAGCTGGCTGTACACTCAGCCTTGGTTCCCTCCTCCGTGTCATGGGGGCACCAGCTCTAGGGGCTGCTGGGACCCGGCTGGTGAAACTCTGCAGTAGTGCTGTCCGATAGAAATAGAAACAGAAATGCAAACCATACGTGCAATGTAAAAATTTCCAGCAAGCACATTTAAAAAGAAAAAAGAAAGAGGAGAAATCAAGTTTAATAACATATTTTATTTAACCCAACACAGGCCAAGTGGTATCACATCAACATACAATCCACATAAAATTGTTGAAATACTTTATTCTTCTTTTTTCTAAGTCTTTGATCTGGTATGCCTTTTATACTTATGGTCCCTCTCAGCTCAGATCAGCCACATTTCAAATGTTCGGCAGTCATGCGTGGCTAGTGGCTACTGTATTGGACAGCACTGCCCTACAGGGTGAAGTCCATGTGCCACAGGAGGCCCCGGCCGGACAGTTAAGATCAAGGTTTGCAAGGGTACAGACACTGGTCTACCTCCTTCTTCCAGCCACCAAGATCCTGGAGGGTTAAAATTTGCCAGTTTCAGCAGTAATTCACATACATCTCTCTGTCCTGCCAAGGCCTCCCTGCAGCTTTGGGGTTAAAAACCTTTCCTTAAACTCCTTAGACCTTGGGCCCAAAGGGTTTCCCAGCTGCTTGGACAGATGTCTGGATTGGGGGTGGGGGACTGAGGCTGCAGGGCTGGCAAGTCCTCCCGAACTGGCATGGGACAGGAACTTAGCTTTTGTTTTTCTCCTAGTGCTTGAGAATCTGGGTCTCAGATTTCAACTGTCTCCTCAATTTGGTTTTAGGGGAGCTGATGGACAGACGGCCTCTCTAAGCAGGAGCTATTGTCTGTGTTTGGGTATGGCAGGGAGTCCTCAGACAGAACTGGCCTCCCAAAGCCTAAAAGCCCAGCTGTCCCTTCCTTGGACACTGCTGAGGCAAGGAGGGGATATGGCACCTTGGATCATGTCGGAGACATGTGGCCCTGACAAGTCTCTTCCATGACTCAGCCACTGCCATGGTGCTGGGAGCACAGACAGGAGTAACCACAGTTGCTCCCATTGTTCAAGGGGTAACACATATGTTAGCATGTGTCCTTAACACAGCACCTAGAGAGGGATTCTGCGGTCCCATTATGTGGATGAGCAAACCAAGGTTCTAGGAGGTTCAATGACCTGCTTGTGACCACACACCCAGTAGGGCTCAGGTCTGCATAATTCCCTGCCTCTCTCTGCACACACAGTCTCTCGAAGTGGCTTTGTCTGTTGCTGAGACCCCTTTCCTCAGTGGCAGAGACACCAGGCTAAGAGGCCACTAAGCCCTCGGGTTTGGCAGGAAGCACAGCTCTGCCTCAGGTTCTCTCCTTGCGCAAGGCACAGATACAAGGTGCGCATTCAGCTGTAAGGAGGAACGCAAGTGCCACCTCCTCTTTCCTGGCTCCTGTGTCCATTCATCTGTTATTAAGATTTCCAGAGCAAGTATGTGCCACACTGACTTACACTTTATCTGTTAGTCTTCCCACTGCCCGGTGAGTATTCCCAGGGCTTTCCTAGTCCCAAGACACTGATTGGATGCTTTTGAGCAAATTCGATAAAGGCACCCACTTTGGGCAGACTAATTAGAAAAAGTTTCCCCTTTAAATATATGTCAGTTGGGACTTCCCTGGTGGCACAGTGGTTAAGAATCCACCTGCCAATGCAGGGGACATGGATTCGAGCCCTGGTTTGGGAAGATCCCACACGCCACGTAACAACTAAGCCCACGTGCCACAACTACTGAAGCCCGCGTACCTAGAGCCCGTGGTCCACAACAGGAGAAGCCACTGCAATGAGAAGCCCGTGCACCACAGCAAAGAGTAGCCCCCACTTACTGCAGCTAGAGAAAGCCTGAGCAGCAGCAAAGACCCAACATGGCCAAAAATGAATAAATAAATTAAGAAAATAAATATATGTCAGTTGTCAGATGCACCCCTATACTAGGGTTATGGCTTGGTAAGTTGATCATAGCCAGGCTTGCAGCCCCTTTTACCCCTATGGTTGGTAATTTTGTGTGAGGCACAACACATACAACTGTATAGGGCAGTCCTGCCTGATCTCCTCTATGTCCCTAGCACACTGGCAAAGAGCCCCACGCAAATCAGGTCTTTGACAAATGGATGCTGAATAAACATAGGCACAGACAAGTAAATATCACAGCAGGATCAACCCCTGTTGAGCTTTTCCTCCGGGTGCCTTGCTTACAAATGGGGAGATGGAGGCTGAGTGTCTTTCAGATAAATGTATTTCCCCTCAACAGTACCTGGCTCCAGAAGTGCTTCGTAAAGAGCCTTATGATCGGGCAGTGGATTGGTGGTCCTTGGGGGCCGTTCTCTACGAGATGCTGCACGGCCTGGTGAGTGGGGTATAGCGGACTCTGGAAGAGATGGGGGTGCGTCTGTCCCTTGTGTGGCCTCCTCAGGCTCCTCGAGGAACTGAATGAGCCATCATTCCTCTCCAAGCTGAAAAAAGATGATGCCAAAGTGAATACAAGGATTAGATATATTTTTTCAATAAAGTCAGTTCCTCACTTTACAGTATACCGTCTCACATGTTACTCCTGTGGTGCCTCATGACCAGGAAACTGAGACCCAGAAAGGTCACAGTGCTGGGAGGTTGTGGAACCAGCCCCTGGACCCAATCCTAGGCTGCCTGCTCTTCTCATCTGAAAAATTACAACCTGTCTCAAAGGTTGGTTGTGAGGCTGGGATGAAATGATGACAGGAAACTGTTAACTTTGCAAAGTGCAAAGTCGTTGCACAAGCTGGATTAAGAGACATGGGATAGAGGAGGCACCTGGGGGATGCACAAGCCTCACACTGGTGGGGCCTTCCCAACAGCCTGTCCACTGTGCTGGATGCCCTTAGGTCTCTGTCTCGCTCCCATCTGCCATGTGAGCCATCGCACAGACACAGGTCTGGCTGAATCCTTCCAGCTGCCCACTTTGCTCCAAGTGTCCCTGAGAACTGTGCCCACTTTAGCACGGATGATCCTCCCGTCTCTCTCTCTCTCTCTCTCTCTCTCTCTCTCTCTCTCTCACCAGCCACCCTTCTACAGCCAAGATTTGTCCCAGATGTATGAGAACATTCTGAACCAGCCGCTACGGATCCCTGGGGGCCTGACAGTGGCCGCCTGTGACCTCCTGCAAGCCCTTCTTCACAAGGACCAGAGGCAGCGGCTGGGCTCCCAAACAGACTTTGTAAGTGACCTTCTAGCGGAGCACTGGCCCCTCGTGGGGCTCTCAGCTTCCTGCAGAGGCAACCCAGAAGCAGTGACATGCATCCAGCTATTTTCTAAAACCAGGCACTGCTAATTCACGCAGTTGGAGATTCACAGCTGCCTACTTATTTCCTTCATTCTAACACTTTTATTCAACCAGTATTTATGGAGCACCTACTATGTGCCAGGCATTGAGCTAAATGCTAGGGATTCATTAGACTGGGTCTCTGCCCTTATTAAGTTTATGAGGGGAAGGCAGACAAACAAACACAAATTATTACAGAGTGTGACAATACGATAAGAGGCCAGACAGGGATTCAGGCAAGGCTTTACTGGGACTTGTGCTATATAGCACGAGGGGGCAAAAGAAAAGTAACAGGTGTCCTTGCTTGCTCTCTGAGGAGGGTGGACTCGTTCCTTAAATGGGGTGAGAGTAGGGGCAGATCTGTGGGTTGGGCAGGAGGGGTGGCCTAGGTTGTCTGCCCACCTCCTTGGTGGTGTTGTGTGTAGGGTTCATGCCCACTATCCTGCTTTTGTTCCCAGCAACCTCAGTTGGTTTTTGGCCTTTTTGTATCTTATGGTTCATAATTTGTCCCAACTGTGCATGCTCCCTAGAAGCTTGCTCTTCTAGCATAGAAGTTGAGATGCATGGATTGTGAGACAGACTACGTGGGTTCAGATCCCTCCTCTACCAATTACTAGGTGCAGGACCCTGGGCACATGGCTAACCACTCTGTGAGCCTGTTTCCCCATCTGTAATAACAGCACCCAGTTCATAGCTCTTATGAAGATTAAATAATATATACAAACACCTAGCCCAGTGTCTGGCATGCAGTGCTTTTTAAGTGTTTGTACAAACTGCCCTATATGCCAGATACTGTGAAGTGTAGCAACATTTAGGGCATTTGCCTACCCATCCCTGGACAGCTTAAAGAACAGGGCTTTCATGAAGACAGGTCCCCTCCTTCCCAGAGGAAATTTGCATCTTAAAAAATATGTATGATTTTTAAAATAAGGTATACATTCCCATAGATCAAAATCCAAAGGATATTCAGAAAAAGTCCCTCCAGCCACTGAGTTTTTTAAATTTGGGGGCAATGAGTGTTACCAGTTTCTTGGGTGTTCGTCTGGAAATAGTTTGGATCTGGCTTTTTAGCAACCCCCCGGGGGGTTTTGATATGGAGCCAGAGAATCATTCTTTGAGGAACACAGGTGGAGAGAGGGTCCTGCTGGAACAGGTGGAAGTTCGTGCCAGCACTGGTTTGGGTTAGGAAAGAAGTGGTGAATCATGCCCAGGGCTGAATCCTAAATTCTGGATCTTTGGGAAACTGCGGCTTTTCTTGGGGCTTTATTTCCCAAATCTTCCTTAGTGAGTCTATTTGCTCTATTTCTCTGGTTAGAATTCTGGAAGAGTCAGGATGCACTGAAGCAGAATGGGGGACAGGGGGTCCCCAAGATCCCCTGGGGCCCCCAAGAGCAGGTTCTGCTGTCTTGTTCACTGACATACCTCTACAGCCTAGTATGGTACAGAATAGGTGCTCAGTAAATAGCTGTGGAATAAACAACTGCTAGGAGGAGAAGGCTGGAGTTCGAGATAATGGTGAAGGGGTGAAGTCTAACTGCAGACACTCCTTTGTCCCAGGAAACCAGCCAGAACGGCAAGTTACCTTCCTAGTAAAGAGTTTAGGGCTTGACAACCAGTTGCCAATAGAGTTGGAGCTCCGAGGCATGTGAGGAGGGGTGGGAACGCCACTGGAAAGGGCTACTTCTGATCAGTACCTTCTTCCTGCAGCTTGAGATAAAGAACCATGTATTCTTCAGCCCCATAAACTGGGACGACTTGTACCACAAGAGGCTGACTCCACCCTTCAACCCTAATGTGGTAAGAGGTCTTCACATTCTAGATTCTGGATTCCCAGGGCTGATGGAAGCTTGGAGGGTATCTGGGGAGGGTATCTGAGCCCGCTCTCTTTCTACAGATGGGAGAACCAAGGGTCCAAGAGGCTCAGTGATTTGTCCAAGGCCACCCCATAAGTTAGAGGCAGAATTGGGTCTAGAGCCCAGAAGTCCTGACCGCCAGTTCAGCTCTGTGTGAGGAGCCAGGCTGCACTACTTTACTTTTAGCACCAATAACCCTCATCGCAGAGCTCTTTACAGTTTTTAAAGAGCACACCCAGACAGAGCCAAGCCCTGTAAAGATTTTCTTTCTATGTTTAGCTTTTTTCCTTATAATAAAAATGGCATGTATTCTTTCTAGAAAGTGTGTAAAACAGATGTTTAAAGCGTCAAGGAGAAAAAGCTTATTATCTCACTACCCAGGAGAAAGCACCACCGGCATGTTTCCTTCAAGTCTTTTCTATGTTTTTTTACATAGGTCACACTTCATATATATAAATATCATCTCTCCCCTCTTTCTTTTTGCTAAAAACTATGTCATTATTTCCCTAAGTCATATAAGACATTATAAGTATGTCTTATGAAAGTCATTCTGCTTGGATCTAACAGAGTGAGAGGCAGACCAGTGCAAAGGTTACCTGTGAAAGCCCCAGAGTCAGCTTATAAGGCCACCAGGGGAGCCCTGTTGTGCACATTTTTAATGTCCTTGATTCATACTGCTTTTATGTCACAATCTACTTCCTACCAGCAGCGTCTGGAGGGTTGGTGTGGAGCAGGTAGGGTTCTGGGGTCGGGGATGGAGGAATTGATAGATTGTTATTGGACCTCATGGAGTACAAAGACCAATGTAAATGCATAAATAAGTGACAATTAAGTAAGGATGCCCCTGGGGCACTCAGAGGGGAGCATTGACATCTCTATCATGGCTGTGGGCTCCTTTGGCAGCTCTGACCCCAGTGTTCCCTTCTTATCATTGGCTTATATTCACAGGCAGGACCTGCTGACTTGAAACACTTTGACCCAGAGTTCACCCAAGAAGCTGTGTCGAAGTCCATTGGCTGCACTCCCGACACTATGGCCAGCAGTTCTGGGGCCTCAAGTGCCTTCCTGGGATTTTCCTATGCACCGGAGGATGATGCCGTCTTAGATTGCTAGAAGAGAAGCACCTACGAAACCACTGAAGCCAGCTTGTATGTGTGAGAATTACCTTCAGCTGCTAGTCACAGTGACCCAGAGTAACAATGGCTTAAATAAGATTTTTTTTTCCCAGCCCATAAAAGAAGGGTGATGTTAGGTGGTCCAGGGCTGGTATGACAGGTCATCAGAGGCTTTCTGTATTTCTGCTCTGCCGTCCTTGGCAAGGGGCTTCTACTATTAGGATTATTATATTATCATAAGATGGTGCTGGAGCTCTAACCACTGCTTCTGTGTCCTGGGCAGGGAAAAAGGAGGAAACGGCAAAAGGGCACCTTTATGGAGCTTCCCCAGAAGCCCCACCCAATGCCTTCTGATTGCATCTCAGTAGCCATCCACCCTACCTGTAATGGAGGTTGGGATATATGTCTGATTAACTGGGCACATTACTCCCCACAATAACACAGGGGTTCCAACACTAAGACAGAAGGGGGAAATGTTGAGTAGGCAACCAGCACCTCTTTACCAGAGGGTCTCTTGGTGTTTGGAGTTTGATCTCAATGTGTAAAATGACGGAGATGTAACAAGCCTATAGGGTATCACCCAACATCCTCTTATTTTTCTCTGTCGATGATGTCTTTCTTTGGGTGGGTGGATTGCACATTTGTTAGGTTTGTCTGCCTGGCATCTGAACCTCTTGCTATATTCAGGGAATCTCCTGTTTTATGAGCCGTAATGAGAGGCAATAACTACCTCTACTTACAGTAGCTGAAAATACTAGATACTAACTTTCCCAGCCCACCCTGCGGCTCGGGCCAGGCATGTGGCCTCAGGATGCACCTGTGCCAGATTTTTGACTCAAGGAAGGAACTGGGAGCTCTCTTTCATGTGGTAGCTGCAGTAACAACACCCACAAAACCGAGTTCCTGGTGTAGAAATGGCAACGATATAGCAATTGGTACTTATTGGCAGCATCAGTTTCCTCATCAGATCAGTGCCGCAGCATCATTCCTGTCATTCCTGGGAATCCTTGAGTCTTATTTAACTCTAGTTTTCCCAATGATTTTGAGAGATTCTGATCCTGTTAACCACTCCTTTTTTGCTTAACTGGTCAAAGTCAGCTTGAGAACATCTGCCTATGCTGAACCAGTTTCTGTGCTAGACTTTTTCAAGTCTCAGTTTTCATCAAAACAACCCCACGGTAGCAGCTATCCCCTTTTTACCAATGAAGAAACGGAGAGAAGTTGTACCTTGCCTGGAGGTCACATAGCTAATAAGGGCCAGAGCTGGGACTTGGAGCCATATAAGCTGACTCTGGGGCTTTCACAGGTAACCTTTGCACTGGTCTGCCTCTCACTCTGTTAGATCCAAGCAGAATGACTTTCAAAATCTCTAAGGAGAGCCAAGCTGGGTTATGGGAAACGGGGTCTTGAAGAGGAGGCATTCAACTGGATGCTCATCGTCTGAGCCTAGCTGCCAAGTTCATGCTATGCTCTACCTCACATACCTCTGTATGTTTGGCAGGTCTAGGGCCATAGGGAGCCCAGGCTGGGGCTGGTACAGTCCCGGGGATTAGCCATTTCTAAAAGCAATTCTGATTGGACAGAGTCCATGAGTCCAAGACACCCTGCACTTATCTGATGGATCTTGCTGCCTTATTTCAGTGCAACAAGTTTTTTTGACAAGCTTGTGGTTCATCACCTACTTCATGGTGGTCTCATTAGCTTTCTGATTTGTGAACAAGAGAAGAACTTCCTTAACATCAGTGTGTGCTGGTGATTTTACTGCCTTTTCCTCTTAACTCAGTCCCACTCTTTGCCTCACATTTTTGTTTATCCAGCCCCCTGCCCCAGGAATTATGGGGGATGAAGCTGGAAGACCATGGAAAACACACCAGTGACACTGACACTGACGTACTGGGGATCAAAGCTGAGTCAAGAGCTACTATTATGCTTTGATATGTGCTGTGAATTCTGAGAGAAACACTATGATTTGATTTCCATCTTAATAGCGTCTGCTAATAGACAGATGTGATGAGGGAGACGCCAAAATCCCCCCAACTTCCCAAAGCAAAAAGCAACAGAGCGTAGTTGTCAGAAATGTGATAGTATATTGTCAAAGTATACAACCTGCTATGGGTTGTGAAACACGTAATGGTTCTATCTGCTCTAAGACTGGAAAATCACAACATTTTCACCAGGGTAGAAAATAAAAATGAAAAATTATGAAACTTGACCTGTTCAATATCAGAACAGATGTGTTCACACCTCGGTTTATTGAGCACATTCTGAGCTGCATGTGCATTATCTACAATCCTCACAATAAGCCAGCATTTAGAAATGATTAACCTCACTTTACAGGTAAGAAACTTTCACTCGGAGATAGTAAGCCCAAGGTCCCAAGGTCACCCAGATGGTACAAGGCACAGCCAGGACCTGAACTTGGTGGCAGCTGCTTCTAAGGCCCTCGCTCTGTCTACAACCTCCAATAGTGGAAGAAATGCTCTGGGCAGCTACTTTTTTGGTCTTCTGGCAAAGCCTGACTGCAAACTGTATTCACCCAATTTGGTACCAAAAGACAGCATCCTCAGGAAGAGAAATCACAATCACCCTCTTCTTCTTTTTAACTTTGCAGTCACAGTAGTTGTGAAAAAGCAACAGGAGTAGTGTGTGTGTTTTAAGACCCTAAAACTCCGACTACTCTGTACCCGCTGAAGACTGTAACAAAAATTCTCAAGTCTCTGCTCACATCGGTTTGAGCCAGCGAAGACAGCTGCATTGCACACACGTCCACGCTCCCCCAGGGCAGGCACTGAGCCCTCCCCTGGGGAGAAGTGTTGCCTGTTTGTGGTTATCGGCGTCTGGTTTCTCATTTTCACGGCGACAGCAGGGCAAACCGTACTTGGCGATGGCTCTTCCGCATAAGCAGTTCCTTCTGCCCAAATGCCCTTCCCCAACCCTTGCCTTAATGAACCATTCTTCTCTCACTTTTCTGCTCAACGGGGACCCCTGTCTGCCCAGCTTCGGCCTCTCACAGCTCCCTTAAAACAGTTTATATTTTTATTTTTTGGTAGACTTTGGTCAGGTCTAACTCGCCGCCAGGGGTTGCCCAGAGGCTGGTTCACCGCCACATCCTGGGCGTGGCACTGCTGCGCTCAGAGATGCGGGGCTAATCAAACAGAAAGAATTATCTCATATTCCCATCCTCACCACTACACCTGCCCACCCTCCTCCTGGAGGGCCTCCCCGGCCTCCCAGGGCGCCTAAACCCTCCTATAACGCGCGCCGTGCCTCGAGTCCCGTGTTCTAAAAAGGGGAGACACCGACCCACAACCGCAGCCGCAACCTCAACCGCAAAACCCCGCGCCGCGTCGGGCCACCGCTCTGCGCCTGCGCCCTAGGGCTCAAGGCTGGGCCTTCCGCACTCTCCGCCGGAAGCCTCCACTAGTCTCCTCCCACAGGGTGGGGCGAAGTTTGGGCCCTTGGGGCCTATCATTTTTATCAGGCTTTAATGAGACTGGGTATTAAAGGAGAAAATGAAATGAGTTTCTCTTTGGCCTAAAGTTAATCCACATTCTCTTTGGGTTTACCCCTCATCTAAAATAATGGTACAGTCCCACATTAGTCCCGCCCCCTTCCCCCACCCATACTTCTCCCTCCTCGCTAGCTAGGTAAATCGGCCTCTTCCGTCCTGTCGTCATCACGTCGCTCCGGAGGTAGTTCCACGCTCGGGGCCACGCCCTTCCAGCGCGCAGCTTCGCCTCCGCAGTTGCTAAGCGGTCTTGGATACCTGGCCGGGGGATGCTGGGCGGCGTCAGGTGAAGATGGTGGTCAGTGGGCCTCAGGTAAGACGGACTCCGACCGTGGTGGGCCGGCCGAGGTGTTGGGAATTGGCGAGGGCCTCGCCGGACTGTCCTCGAGGCCGCTGGGCCCGTCTTAGAGAAAATCGAGGTCCGCTAGGGTAAAGTAAAAGGGTGGGGGCGCAGATATAGGCCCGGATCCCGGACCTCAGACTGGGCTGGAATCTAACTCGCCTTCGGCCGGGAGATGTTTAGTCATCCTGCTGAGTATGAAAGAGCATTGGACAAGAAACCATAATGTGACATCCTAGTTCCATCCCCTTTTTCTAGGAATCCTGCTCTTAGGAATCTGTCCTACGGCAAAAATAATTAATGGCAGAAGCAGAAATATGTACATTTCAGTAGGATCTACGATGGCAAAAAATTGAAAAGATGCTCATGAAGATTGAGTTTATTATGGCATAACCACGCAACCACTAATCTAATCAGAAGGCAGAATACAATGTTGTATGTACACACTGTGAAAGTAAGCATAGGCATGGATGGAATGGAACATGAAAAGATAGCTGTGGTGGTATCATGGGGGGATTTTTTTTTTCCATCTGACAAAATGATTTTAAAGTTCAACCTAAAACATAAATATGTGGGACTAACGAGAAAAATTCTAAAACTTTAGAGTAATAAGAGAGATTAGCTTTTATCAGCACCACCAAGTATTATAACATACATATTATAAACCTGTAGTAATTAAAATAGTATGGAACTTGGCAGGAACTTACAGGCAGATAGAATATATAGAATTCATGATAAAATTCAGTTTTTAGGGTTTTATTATATAGGCAAGGTGGTATTTTAAATTAGCATAGAAGGGATGGATTGGTGTCAGGCAACTTGCTAGTAATTAAAACAATAACAAAATTAAAGCACCAAAATAAAGTCCAAATGGACTAAAATTTAGGTCTTAAAAATTTTGACATCATAAAAGTACTAGGAGAAAGCATTGTTGGATGTATTTATAATCTTAGCATGGTAAAAACTCTTCTAAAGGGCTTCCCTGGTGGCTCAGTGGTTAAGAACCTGCCTGCCAGTGCAGGGGACACAGGTTCAAGCCCTGGTCCGGGAAGATCCTACATGCCATGGAGCAACTAAGCCCGTGCGCCACAACTACTGAGCTCATGTGCTGCAACTACGGAAGCCCAAGCGCCTAGAGCCCGTGCTCCACAACAAGAGAAGCCACCGCAATGAGAAGCCGGCGCACCGCAACGAAGAGTAGCCCCCACTGGCCGCAACTAGAGGAAGCCCGCGTGCAGCAACGAAGGCCTAACGCAGCCAAAAATAAATAAATTAATTAAAAAATAAAAACTCTTCTAAATATGTCACGCGATCCAGAAGCCAGAAAGGAAAAGATTAATGTTTTCGACGCTATAAAATTTAAAACTTTCTGTGTGGCCTGCAAAATTCAAGCAAACTAAACCAAAAAAAAACTACCAGCAGCTAAGTCTAAAGACAAATAAACTTATGGAAGTCTTTATTTAATGATCAATTAGAAAAATTTTAAACCCAATAGCAGAGTATATGAACAAGAAAATCAGAAGAAATATAAGTGGCCAATATAAACAGTGAAAGATGGCCATCTCACTAATTCCAAAGGGCAAATTAAAATAATAAGGATTTTTTTTTGCCTATCTTATTAGCAAAGATTTAAAAAATTAAAAACAGGATTGTGTGGAAACAAATGTATTAGCGTTAGTGGAAGTAAAAATTAGTACAATTTTTTGGAGGGCAATTTGGAAATTATTTACTTAGCCATTCAACAGGTAGGAATTTAT